CATTCACACGCTCTTGTTTGGCGTGTTGCTGTATTGTGCTGTTCCGTGGTAGGTTAATTACTCGTTTCTTCACACCACTGCGTCGTGTCACTCGCGCTCTATGAGCACACATTTATTTTCCGAGTTTTTCCCCCATGCGTGATATACTTACGACATTGTTCCACCTATGCCGCTGCTTGACCGCCCGCCGACGCAGGTGCTCGCGCGAAGGCTGCAACTCGCGAGCTACCTTCAGCTTCCCCGAGACCACCACCACCACCGCTACGCCTCTCTCCGCCGCTGCTTCATCAGCATCATCATCACCTCGACCGGGGACCACCGACACCACCAACACCCTCAAGCGGACTTGGAGGGGCCGGCACAAGAAAGAGGAGTTCTGCGTGGCGCACGCGCTGCACGGGATGGTGCTGTCCAGGGGCAGGGGTTGCTCCCACCCCGGTTGCTCCAAGCGCGCGAGCTACGGGAACCCCGAGACGCGGCGGAGGGAGTTCTGCGCCACCCACGCGGAGACCGGTATGGTTAACATCAACAGCATCAAGGTCCCGGAGGCGCTGAAACGCGGCGGGCAGTCGACGGCGACAAGCAACGGCGCGAGGGCAGTGGCTGCTGCTGCTGCTGCTACTGCTGCTGCTGCCAACAAGCGGAGGGCCGTCGCCGTCACCAGTACATCGAATGAGGCTATCGCCGGGAGTGGCTACGGTGGTGGTGGTGGTGTGGTGGCTCCGTCTGCCTCGGTGCGACAAACGTACCGGTCTGACGGTTTCCCCCCCGGTGGCGGCAGGACGGTAGTTCGGGAGCACCAACAACGTATCGGAGGAGGAGGAGGAGGTGAGGGATCGGAGAGGCGCCCGTCCGCCGGCTGGAGCTCTTCTGACGATGTATGCAGTAGACCTTGGGTTGCGTCCGGCCGCGGCGGCGGGGTTGGCGGGGGCGGCGGTGGCGGCGGCGGTGGTGGTGGTGGCTCTGTCGACCAATTCGCATCTTCAAGCGCCGCCGGTACCGCCGGTGCCGGCTGTCTCAACCGTTTCGCTAATTCAAGCGGCGACGTCCCTACGAGTTCGGCAGCGGCGTCTCACAATAGTCCTTCTCGTTTTTCGGGTTCCGACAGGGACGGAAGGACCAGCGGAGAGAGCAGCCCCCCAAGCGGCAGTGACATGTCCTGCAGCAACAGCGGCTACGGTGGTAGTGAAAGGAACGGTGAGGGCCGCAGTCCTCCCAGCAGCGGCACCGACCTGTCCCGCAAAAGCAGCTGCAGCAGCAGTACCAGCAGCAGCAGCGGCAGCGGCTACGGTAGTATTGCCGGCTCTCGCAGCCCGTCGGCGGAAACCATGACGACGCGGGAGAATGCTAGGGGCCCAGTCGAGGAAGTAGGAACCGGTGCTGCCGCGGCGTTTGGGCCGGCGAAGTGGAGGCAAACAACGTCCCCGTCGCCGCTCTCGTCCGCTCCGCCTTGCGGCCTTCCTCCTCCTCCGTCATCTTCTTCTTCTCGTCCTCCTGTCCGTCTGGTTCCGACGACCGAACACGGGCACGGCGAACAAACTTCGCAAGAACAAGCTTCGAAAGAACAGCAGAATCACCGAGGGGCCCGATTTCCGTTCTCGACGACGACACGTACTACGACTAGTAGACCGGAGGGGAGGAAAGAAACAGGGCCGACGACCGAGCACGGGCTCCTAGAAGCTTCGAAAGAGCAAGGCCGAGTGATGTTCTCGACGGCGACGCGGAGAAGTAGGGCGGAGGGGAGGGAAATAGGGTGGACGCAGCAGCAGCAGCCGCAGCAGCAGCAGCAGGTGGGTGCTTCTGCGGGGGCCTCAGGGTCGGAGGAGCGGGGATCATCTGAGGTGCATGGGAAATCCAAGAATGATACCGTGAGAAGGTGGATGTTGCCATGGAAAGCTACGGCAGCGCCGCTCTTGCAGACTCAGGACGGGTGGATGGAGTGGGAGTGGACTGCCATACAGGTTTACTCGCGACGGTCGTGATTGATTGTGCCGTGTCATGTCGAAAGCGATCTCGTTGGGAGTGGATATACAGGTTGACTCGCGACGGTCGTGATTGATTGTGCCGTGTCGTCATGCCAAAAGCGATCTCGTTGGGAGTGGACTACTGTTCAGGTGAACTCGCGACCACCGTGATTGATTGGGTCTTGGTGATGTCTACAGCGACGTCGGTGGGAGTGGGCTGCTGTTCGGATTCACACGCTACAACTGTGATTGTACCTTCGCGTGATGCCTACAGCGATCTTGGTGGTAATGGAGTGGACTGCCATTCGGGGATACTCGTGTGTTACCGTGCGATGTGTCTAGGTACCGCGATCTCAAATCTGCTTTATGCACACGATGGGCTCCTAAATGGATAGAGTTCAATGCATCACAGCACATCGAGCGTGTTCGTTCGTTCGTGCCCCTCTCTTTTGCAAGATTGTGGTGATGTCGGACGTGCGCTACCGTCTGTCATATTTTTCAGTTTATGCATTCGATGTGTAGTCTAGCGTGTGTACGGCTGGATGACGTTGTATACGAAGATCAATATTTATGTGGTGAACGCTGTGTGTGGGATTTGACATTTTATCTTCCGATTTATTTCACTCGTGGGCGTTCAGTTGGGTGCAAGCAGGCATGTGTGTGTGCGCTGCAATGTTGCGTGCGATTTTGACATTTTATCTTCGAGTTTTGTTTCACTCGCACTCATCCAATTCCGGAGAGCACGGAGAAAGCGTGCCATGTACACTATGCGCCATGCGTGTGAGAGAGAACCATTGTGGTTTGCAATAGTCTGTTTCATCTACGTATGCGAAGAAGGTGTGCATACATTTGTCCATCACCGCAACATCCAGCACGTCAGTTTTGTCAACGAAAGGATTCATGATTGTGTCTTTTTTGCGTCTCTGGACCTTAGAGTGCGTGGTTTCCTTCTGTGTCACTGCTGTGCGTGCGATGTGAGATGCGTGCGGCTCGACCAGCTTTCGCATCATCCTTACTTGTATGTTTCTGCGGCCGTCACGGCAGTACGAAAGATTGTGTGTAATAATCATGTCGGTACTGATTGATTTTGGCAACGCATCGTTAGCAGCCAACCTATCCATCTAGACTATGCATTTTACCAGGTAACGAATATTAGACTGTTCATTTGCGGTTTGCGCGGACGATGCTGCATTTGTAAATATTCACGTTTTTTGGTGGGATGTCCTCCTCTTTTGGTGCCATCCACGCCAGCCTTCAGAATTTCTTGCTTTCTTTGCGTCAGACACACACATGTCCTGGCAATGGTGCCCGCATGGACATGTTGGGGAGGGGGGGGGTCGGGGGGTGGCGGGTTGTCTTTGTGGCTGCCGTGTTTGCATGTTGGAACAGTATGCGTATCATGTCACGTACGTACGCGCTTTTTCTCATTCTTCTCCTGTGACTCGGAAGGCGAGTGCGGCTGAACGCCACCTCGTCTTCTTCACGGTGTACACAATTTCCTTGCAGCTGGCGACGCTGCACTTTTCTTGCATACATTTTTATTTTTTGGGATGGATGTCGCCGTCTTTGGGTGCCGTTCACGTACGTTTTCATATGCCCTCGTCTGTTGTCGGAAAGGAATGAATGTCCTAGCAACGGTCGGTGTGACGAGGGTATGGGGTCATGCGTCCATGGTACAGGATGCATGTCATACCTACATATGTAGACTATATTTGGTGCGTTTGCTCAATTTTACTTTTGACTAGGAAATAATGAGTGCGGCTCGACCCGTTTTCTCGACAGTATGACAGGACGAAGACAAAATGTAGATACATATCTTGCGGTTGTTCATGCATGCATGTGCGCCCATTGGCTTATTATGCCTAGAGATTGGTTCGGGACGATGTGTTGAAGTTTCGGAACGAGAGCATTTTTGTTTCTGAGAGTGACACGCATGGTCGGTTAGCGAGTGCTGCGTGCAATATTGTGTGAAATTGGATGGAGAGGGAACGACCGAACATATATCCGGACGTTTGACGGGCGGACTCCAACACTCGCCGATCGCAACTTAGGTTGGATCGGGGACAATGCGTTCAAGATTCGGATCGAGAGTAGGTGTTGCTTCTGGGAGTGAGTAGCATGGATGATCGGTAGGGGCGGGGACGAGTGCTGCGCGCAACAACAAGTGAAACTGTATGAAAACATCGGTCCAGAAAGAGCAACCGAAAGCATTTGTGCACGTCCATCTGTGCGTGAGTCGCGGTGTACTCCGGCTAGGTTCGACGGAAATGTGGGCGCCTGACGGGTCGAGTACAATCACTGACCATCATGGCGTAGGACTGATTCGGGAACGATGCGTTCATGGTTCGGAATGAGAGAAAAAAACGGTTCTGAGAGTGAGTTGGATGGTCGGTTGGCCAGGGCGAGTGCTCCATGCCATAAAATTAGTGGCGAAAAATTTGAGCAATCATTAAGTGAATCGGGTTAGTGGGCCGAATGTAGCCCGAAGCATGTCCGTCTGTTGTGCGGGAGCCGTCGTGCACTCCGGCGACGACGCGTCTACATTATAACAGGCGTACTACAAACAACACTCAACCTGCCCAACGAGACTTTTGACCTCGCATCCCCTTCAATATAGACTACGGCCCGGGGTTTCGCCGACCACCCAGGGTACGTTTCACAAGAGAAAGGGTGAGCCGGGAGCTGGTTCGTCATCAGTTTGCTGAACCAAACACAAAATATATCTGCTCATCATCATGGGTTTGATTTTGATTTGGCATCAACCAATCGTTTCACATCCGGCAGGCACGGCATAATAACTCTTTGTGCGCTTGTACAGAGCAGGCGCGCCACACACAGGGAACACTCGTGTATGTGGAACACTTGGTTTTTTCGTAAGTAAACCACGCCACTGTGTGGAGTCTATTGGGTATCCCATGCGCGCACCACAAAGAAAGGGAGAAGCACAGGTAGTACAAGCTGGGGCACCAAAACACGAAAATAAAAGTGTCCTTCCTCCTACGGCGGCAGGAATGCAACAACAACACAAGTTGTGATCCTCTTGAAACAAAGGCTTGACTTCACGTCTTCGACTGCGACATACCGTACAGAACTACAACAATTACTAATTAATACTGTTCTTCGATAACAGAATCGAAACACATCCATCCGATCCAATCCTATCCAAGAGTCTGCGTACAGTCCGCCCGAAAGGCGATCGTTGAGCGTGAACGTATCGCTTCCTCCCTCAGTCACCCCTCACATTAACAAGACAAGGTTCAAACCTTGTTCAACGGGTTGGCATGTGTTCTATCAACGAAATTGAACAAATATAGCGTCCCCAGGTATTGTCCTGTTAGGTCACTTCTTCGTACCCCAGCATAGCTACCCCGTCCTCTCCTGGCTGTTCCATCCTTTCACTTCGTTAACGCCTGCACCAAAGAACTTGCTCGGCAGTTGGGAACTCCATGCTCAACGCAGCAATTTATCACAGCACAAGGACTTGAGAAACCCCCATCACAGACAGACGTTTTAAAAAAAAAAATGCGGTCATTTGTACCAACTACGAACCCCGGCCTCGAAGCCGCGAAAAAAAAATTAATCTCACTAGCCTAGTCAGTAGATACTTCTCCTTCATCATAAGTTTGCGCCCGCAAATTGATCATACAGCCACGGATAGCGCCGACACTTTAGCTGTTAACTTCAAGCTCAAGTTTCTGGTGAAATTGCAAGAACTTGAGCACCGTTTCTGAGCTCGACAAAGACACCTATATAACAATCCTGTATCAGGGGCCGTTTTTTTGCCCACAAGAGGAGCCAAGAAACCCCAGACCGGCCAAAAGAACAAAACCACGGTCAAAACAAAACAAAACAAAACAAAACATCTACTAGCCTAGCCAGGTGTATGGATGTAGATGCTTCTCCGCATCGTAAAAGCTAGCGGCCGCACTTTCATCATACCGTCAACGTAGCGCTCGCGCTTCAGAACTTGGCAGCTAAGAACTTCACGCTCAACATCATCATATCAGAACTTGAGCACCCGGGAAAGAACGAACCCCCTTCACTTCTATCTAGGTACTGTAGCTGCCGTTCGCAGCGTAATGCCAGGAACTACGAACCCCGTGCTCAGCCTAAACTGGGCGGAGGGTCTCTTAAGCGCGGCCGCTAGCTGTTTTCACAGGTTCTTTGGTTCACGGCCGGTCGTGATAAATATATATATTTCGGCGAGTTTCGTTTCCGAGATCAACTTTCCGGTGGTCCTCCAACACGTAAATCATTCGGCTTCCAACAACAGGTGCAAACAACATCGGAGGGTCTACAGGACCATACTTGCAAAATGTGTTGTGCCAGATTAATCAGGATTTTTGCCAGAGCGGAGCACGAGTCGCGAAACATGTACCGAAAGCCAGGCGGTCCCTCCCGTCGCCATCGAAAAAGAAACCGATCGAACAAAAAAACTGTCCCCGCGGTTGACTACAAAAATACAAACTTCGACCCTCAACAAGGGCGAGAACCACGGCAAGAACCCGCATATACCGGTTGGTTTGGCGGTGACCCGCGATAACATACCGGTTGGCGGTGACCCGCATGTACCGGTTGAGAAGGAAACCGCAGCGGGTGCGTATGCGAGAACCGGTGCTCGGAAACAATTCGGCAGGGTGACCCTCCCAAAACCACCAAAATCAAGAGATACACACATCGCGAGGAGTAGAGTGTACCCTGACAGTACAAACAACGGGTGAAGAAATAATCATTGAAACTTCATCCCCCCCCCCCCCACCAAAACACCTGAATGACAAGTCGCCAAAGTCACCCCCACCTGAGGTACGCCGCAAGAAAACGCCCATTCAAAACACCAAGAAATAAATGTAAAATAAACGCTGTAGACAAAAGAGCAACATGACTTCTCTTGGAAGACATCCAATCTGCTCGGAGCTTGGGCGGTGCAGGAAAGCACCAGCAAATTATCTGCCGCATACAAAAAAAAAAAAAAAATGCCTCTCCGGCGAGCGGAAGCAATGACCGAGGCCGGAATGTTCGTCATCACCGGCTGCCACTCGCACAATCGGCTAGAATGTCTACACCTAGTAGGAGGGAAAGTCCGCGATCACTGGCTTCTGCCACCCCCACTGTCATTGGCTGGAAAAATCAGCATCAACGGCTGCCACCCCCACCCTAATAGGGCGGAATGCTCACCATCACTGGCGGCTTCATCTCTAGTATAGTAGGCTGGAATACCCATCATCACTGGCTTGTGCCACTCCCACCATCATAGGCTGGAAAAATCACCATCACTGGTCGCCACTCCCGCGCTACCGCAGCCTGGAATAAATATCACCGGCTGCCGCTCTCCCCACTAGGCCGGCACGGTCATCATCGCCGGCTGCCACTCCGACTACTAGGCCGGAATGTTCATCATCACCGGCTGCCACTCCCACTCCGTCCACCCCTTGTTTGTGAGCAACAGCGGGGGGGGAACGCCCTCCTTCCTAGCCGCCCACGGCAGCAACATCCTTCGCCGCCTCAAAACGAACGCCGCCGCCCCGGCGTCCTCCTCGACGTCCTCCCCCCCCACCCCCCCACCCCCCTTCACCCCCCCCGCTGCCGGCGAGCCCAGTCGCTTTCTTCCCCCCGCCACCTCGGATCCACCAACCCCGGTGCCGTTATCGTCCACCTCGTCCCCTCGTTGACCGGCATGCCTCTCGGGGCTTGGTGCTTCCACCGGTTCGCTCTTGGCTAAAGGTGGTCTTAGTCGGGAAGACGAGTCGGCGTCCGTGTGCTCTTGCTGCAAGGAGGAGGTGTCGTCGAGAACAGACGCCTTCCTGGGCGGCGACGGGCGGGGGTGGGGGTTGGCTGGTTCTGGGGCACGGACGTCGTGGGGAACGGCCTCGCCGAGCTGGGGGAGCCTGTACAGCTCGGGAGGAGGAGGGGGAGGCGTCCCCGCCTCGTGTCTTCCCCGCCACCGCTGCTGCTGCTGCTGCTGCTGCTGCTGTTGGTGCAGCTGCTGCTGCTGCTGCTGCTGATGTTGGTGCAGCTGCTGCTGCTGCTCCAGCTGTTGGTGCAGTTGATGCTGCTGCTGGTGCCGCTGTTGATTCAGTCGATGCAGATCGAGCTCCTGCTGTAGGTGATGCTGCTGCCGCTGCTGCTGCCGCTGCTGCTGGTACTTGCGCGGTAGTAGCTGGTGCGCAGCTTCTTCTTCGCCGGCCATCATGTGGGCGGGTCCCCCGCCGACCCGCATCCCCTTCTCCCCGTGAAACGGATAACCCACGGGGAAATTCCGGCTGCTGTCGCGGTTTACCGCGTGACGAAGACGAGGGCCATCGCCTACTACGCCTACGCTGCCGGGGTGGTGATGATCCACTGGCCAATGACCGGCGGCATCGTGACGCGAATCCCCCCACTCTCCCATCCCGGAGGAAACCGAGGACCCCACGGAGTTCCGTCGACCGGCGGGGTCGACGCCGTTGGGGTGCTGCTGCTGCTGCTGCTGCTGCTGCTGCTGCTGTTGCCCGCCTGTGTGGCTGCTGCCACCCCCCACCCCCCCCCCTCCCCCCCCCGGGGGGGTCGGCGCCATCTTCCTCCGCCCGCTGCTCTGGTTGTTGATGTTCACCATCCCCTTGGCCGCGTGGCCCGCGCAGAACTCCCGCTTGTTGGTCCCAGCGACGCCATAGTTGGCACGCTTGCTGCAGCCCTCCTTTGCGCACCTCCGGCCGCCGATGGACACCATGCCTCGCTCCGCGTGGGCGGCGCAGAACTTTCTCTTCTGGCCAAGGACTCCGTAGGAGGCGGAGGTGAAGCAGCCCTTGAACGGGCACAGCTTCTTGTCGAGCTTCACCATGCCCTCCTCCGCGTGCTTCGCGCAGCACCTGGGTGGGGGGACCAAAGAGGCAAAAGCGCGTGTGTGTAGGTGTTTTTATTGTCAGCATCGACCGCGCTAACCGGCTCACCAATGAAAAGACGTCCGTCTTATTAATAGTGCGGTGTGTGTGTGTGTATGTGTGTATGTGTGTGAATAGCTGCCGGATTCGTCGCAAAAACTGCCTGAACGGTCTAGAGGAGAAAACAAGGCTATTTCTTCTCCACAGCTAGATGTTCACCCGTGTGGCGTGTTGGACCTGGATGGGACCAAGCAAGCAGGTATGTTTGTGAAGGATCGTACGATCGTAAGAGAAAATAACAACGGCTACCGGATTCGTCGCGGCATCTGGACCAAGAGTCGTGTGGTTGCAGAAGGAGTATGAGAACGAACGGGAGGCTACCACCGGATTGGTCGACACGGGTCTTGCTTCGATGGGGACGAAATGTTGCATGACGTCAGATACCACACCCCCGAGACCGATGTTCAAGGCTCGATTACTCCACGACCAAGAGGATGCCGAACTTCCAAGCATACGTTTTCGGAAAGCTCTCGACGAGACGATTCCAACGCCTCCCGCCATCTTTCAGCACATCCTGCCGAGCTTCGAAAATCGGTCCAGGGGGGTGTGATATCTTACGTCATGCAACCTAGGGTACCCAGCACCTGGAACAAGGGGCGGCGTGTCAACGAACGTGCGATCTCGATGCTTAAGGACGGCTGCCACCGGATTCGCTCGCAACCGGTGGATGTTACCCACACTGATCTTGCTTCGATGGGGAATGAAATGCCAAGAGGCGTTTGAGGTTCATGGACGAAATGCGAAAGACAACGGCCACCGGAGTCGTCACAGCACCTGGGTGGGACCAACGAGAAACAAAAAGGCTATGTAATACCCAGCACCTCTGCACCATTTATAGCGTGGAAACAAGCGTAAAACCTTTTGAGACAAGAAACGGCGACCGACCGCACTCGTTCGTTACGGCTGGACGGTTTCACACGTCGATCTCATGTCTCGATGGACGTGCGCCCTCATCTCGCTTGAAATGGGGGGCGGGAGCAGTCAGTTGGGTGTCAATCCGTTGTGGTCAGCCAGGCCTACTCGGCGTTTTTTCATTAAGTGCTGGTGGCGTGCCACAGTTGGTTGGATGAGTAGAGGTCTTCCTCCGAGAGAAAAACCTTTCATCGCCACTATGTGCCCTACACTGCATATATGGTGCAACATTTTCGTTCAGCTGTTTATGATGGTGCTGCTGCCAGAGAAATATCGTGTTACTGGACCGCCGAGAAATACCCCTCTTACGGTTGTGGCAAAGAGCAACCGTTTTGGCAAAGAGCAACGACGCAAAAGCGCCATCACCGCTCGTCTCTCAAGACTTGTTGCCCACTGAGGGAGGAAATGGTTTGGGCACATACGCATCTCAATTCCAACCTTGGTACAAGCTTCGGCGCGACGGCCCCCAGAGTGAGAAAAATACTTGTTGGTAGTACATACGAATGTTAGAATAATCCTTCCAGTCTTGGTACAAGCTTCGGCGCTGTGGCATTCCAATGGTGCTCTCTCTCTCTCTCTCTCTCTGCCCGTCCGTGAGCGAAACAATTTTTGGAGAAGTTGCGCAAGGAACCAAACAGCCGCCTCCGTCTGCAATACTGCTGTGATATTCACCTCAAAGCACATCTGTTGACGCCAAAGAATCACGGCATACAAAGAACCATCGCATGGCTACAGCAGGTGGCCCGATTATAGTGGAATGGAGGGGCAAGAGGAGAGTACGCCACTTTTCAGGGCAGTTCCACTATCCACATGTTGAAATAATTAAACAATTGGGACAAGAAATTCTGGTGCCACTTTATGTATCGGCCGTAGTTCCACTAACCAAGTTGCCACTTTACCTCCCAACACCGCAACCCTCCGCTCACCCTCGCTTACGGTTGCCCGGGTACCGGTAGGCCAAGTCGCCACTTTATCGGGCCACCTTCTCCCAACACCGCAACCCTCCGCTCACCCTCGCTTACGGTTGCCCGGGTACCGGTAGGCCAAGTCGCCACTTTATCGGGCCACCTTCTCCCAACACCGCAACCTTCCGCTCACCCTCGCTTACGGTTGCCCGGGTACCGGTAGGCCAAGTCGCCACTTTATCGGGCCACCTTCTCCCAACACCGCAACCTTCCGCTCACCTTCGCTTACGGTTGCCCGGGTGCCAGTAGGCCGGCGGGGTGAGGCAGTCCTCCACCGCACACTTCCTCCGCTCGACGTTCACGGTGCCCTGGGGAGCGTGCTTGCTGCAAAAGGTCCTCCGTCCCGTGACGGGATCGCCGAACGTCGCACGCGTGTCGCAATCAAGCCTAGCGCACCTTGAAGAAGGATGCAGCAACAAAAAGAGGCGATGGAAAGGCGGCGCGTTAATAAAACCAAGGGTCAAGGTAAGCCTAGCGCGCCTTGAAGAAGGATGCAGCAACAAAAAGAGGCGATGGAAAGGCGGCGCGTTTTTGGAACCAAGGTGAAGGTAGGCCTAGTGCGCCTTCAAGACGGCAAGGGGCATGGAAAGAAGGTCGAGGAAAGCCTAGCGCACCTCGAAAAAGGGCGCAGCAAAGAGGCAACGGAAAGGCGGCGTGTTTCGGAAACCAAGGTCAACGTAAGCCTTCAAGAGAGGCGGCAGCCAGAGAGGCAACGGAAAGGCGGCGTGTTTCCGAAACCAAGGTCAACGAAAGCCTTCAAGAGAGGCGGCAGCCAGAGAGGCAACGGAAAGGCGGCGTGTTTCCGAAACCAAGGTCAACGAAAGCCTTCAAGAGAGGCGGCAGCCAGAGAGGCAACGGAAAGGCGGCGTGTTTCCGAAACCAAGGTCAACGAAAGCCTTCAAGAGAGGCGGCAGCCAGAGAGGCAACGGAAAGGCGGCGTGTTTCCGAAACCAAGGTCAACGAAAGCCTTCAAGAGAGGCGGCAGCCAGAGAGGCAACGGAAAGGCGGCGTGTTTCCGAAACCAAGGTCAACGAAAGCCTTCAAGAGAGGCGGCAGCCAGAGAGGCAACGGAAAGGCGGCGTGTTTCCGAAACCAAGGTCAACGAAAGCCTTCAAGAGAGGCGGCAGCCAGAGAGGCAACGGAAAGGCGGCGTGTTTCCGAAACCAAGGTCAACGAAAGCCTTCAAGAGCGGCGGCAACGAAAGAGGCAATAGAAAGGCGGCGTGTTTCTGAAACCAAGGGCAAGGTGTAAGCCTAGTGCGCCTTCAAGATGGCACAAGAAAAGAACGAAGGTCAAGGTAAGCCTAGCGCACCTTCAACAAGGCCGCAGCAAAGAGGCAACGGAAAGGCGGCGTGTTTCCGAAACCAAGGTCAACGAAAGCCTTCAAGAGCGGCGGCAACGAAAGAGGCAATAGAAAGGCGGCGTGTTTCTGAAACCAAGGGCAAGGTGTAAGCCTAGTGCGCCTTCAAGATGGCACAAGAAAAGAACGAAGGTCAAGGTAAGCCTAGCGCACCTTCAACAAGGCCGCAGCAAGAGAGGCATGGAAAGGCAGCGTGTTGCTGAAACCAAGGTCAACGTGTAAGCCTTCTTCAAGGTGAAGGTAAGCCTAGTACGCCTTCAAGATGGCAAGATGGATGGAAAGAAGGTCAAGGTAAGCCTAAATAGCGCGCCTTCGCCTTGAAAAAGACGGCAACCAAAGAGGCATGGAAAGGCCGCGCGCTTCTGAAACCAAGGTCAACGTAAAGCCTTCAAGAGCGGCGGCACGAAAGGGCTGAATGGTTTTTAAACCAAAGTCAAGGTACGCCTAGCACACCTTCGGAGGTATTGTCCGTATGGGCTAATGCCCTTTTAGAAGTTGTTCCTGTCCTCGCAGACCATATTTATACATATGCGTGTTTATCACGTCGTGAGGTCAATGCTGACCGATACTATTTCTGCTGCAAGGAGCAACCGACCTTTGAAAATCGGTCCAGGGGGGGTGCGGTCACCTACGCAAAACGGTGGTAGGTAACATGAGCTCAACATGAAGGAGTGGCGGGGGGGGTGGGGGGGGTGGGTACTCATGGTCGTGCATGCCGTGGTCGTTAGACCATTGACCTCGCATCCCCACAAAGCTTCTGGCCGGACCAGGCTCTCACATCACCAAGCAAGATGCACCGTGAGGTATTCGGGGAGTCGCATGAAGGATGAGCTGCACCCTGCTATGTTTACCGCAAAAAAAAAAAAAACAGAGGCAAAAAAAGGGGCAACCTGGTCCGAGCTCACGAAGTGAATTGGCTTGTTTTACAACGGCGTTGCCAAGCAACGAAAACCCAACCCCGATGGCAAACATCGGGGGGGGGGGGAGGGGGGGCTGGGGGTGTACTCATAGTCGTGCATGCCGTAGTCGCTTGACCATTGACCTCGCATCCCTACAAAGCCGGGACGGAGCACGCCGGGTTCTCACCGGACCAGGCTCTCACATCACCAAGCGCGAAGCGCCGTGAGGTATTTGGCGAGTCGCATGAAGGGTGAGCTGCATCCTGCGAAGGGTGTTCGGCATCTTGTGCTTACTTCCTTGCGTATGGATGACAGCTACGTATGACTTAATTTATTTTCTGGTGCTTTCACTTCCAGAGACAGTTGTAAGCACTGTTTAACTGCCTCGAGGGTGCTTGACCAATATTAACACAACGTGGTGCGATCATCCCCCGTTGCGCGGAGTGAGGGTTCTCGACCCCGCACAACATGATCTACTCGACCACCATTATGGTTACCGCCAAAACAAAAAACGAGGTAAAAAAAAAAAAACGGTAACCTGGTTGTCGAGTTCACGAAGTGAATTGGCTTGTTTTACAACGTCGTTGCCAAGCGACGAAAACCCAAACCCCGATGGCAAACACCGGGGGGGGCGGCTTGTTTTACAACGTCGTTGCCAAGCGACGAAAACCCAACCCCGATGGCAAACACCGAGGGGGGGGCTGGGGGGGGGATCTATCTTTCTGCATGTCAACGATACGGTATGGGACTATAATAGCTATTTTCTGCTGGAAGGAGCACGCGAGCTTTGAATATTGTGCTCAGAGGGGGGTCGAGATCTCTCTGCCTGTCATCACCTGCAGTAAGTAAGTAAGGATGGGACGAGACTGAATTTTTCTGCTGTCTAGAGCACAACCTATTCGATAAAATTACACATTAGAGCATTGACCAACCTATTCGATAAAATTACATCTGCTCTAGTGTGCAATTTTATCGAATAGCAATCGAGCTTCGAAAATCGGTCCAGGAGGGGCGTCATCACCTCTACCACACGGTACGGTTTTCATTCAGCACGAGGACGGGGTGGGACTGAACTACATACCTCACCTCGTGAGGTCGATGTTGACCATGCCCGGGAGCGCGTGCTCCGCGCAGCACTCCCTCCTCCGGCTTGCCTCGATGCCGTAGGTCGGCCTCTTGGGACACCCCGGGTATCGGCAAGACGCAGTGGCAGCACCAGCACCACCAGCAGCACTACCACCACCGGATGCACCAGGAGGAGCAGCAGCAGCCGGCTGCATATGTCGTCGTTGCTGCTCGATCTGAACCGCGAGATAGGTATGGTAGCACGGCACGGGCTCCCGCACTCAAGAAATAGAGGCTCACATTTTCACGACAAATCACAAAAAATAATCAGTGGTTGAGAAACAGAGGCTCACATTTCCACGACAAACGACAAAATGAGTTTTAAATACACACCTCAGCAGTGGATCCTTACACTTAAAACGCTAGGGTATATACCGTAAGGTTACTCAGCAGTGGATCCTTACACTTAAAACGCTAGGGTATATACCGTAAGGCTACGCGTCAGCGCACAGGGGTGCGTTCGATTTTCAAAGCGTAATTTCTCCACAACCAGGAGGGTGCGAGCGCCAACTGATACTTCTCAGGAAAGCTCTCGATGAGATATTCCCCAAACCGCCCTTTTCGACAGCAGCAGCGGTAATCTCCTGGTTGTGGAGAAATGACGCTTTCAAAATCGCTCGCACCTCTGTGCGCTGACTCGCAACCTTACGGCAACAACCTACCTGTGCTCGACAGCAACAGTGGCGACGAAAAAAGAACCTGTGAAAGCCTCGACTCAATCTTGACGTTTCATACAGCTTTCGCGAGTTTAATAAGTTTCTGAGGAAATAGAACACGGAGGGGGGGACGCAGACCCTATTCGCTAACCCTAACCCAACTTCCCCGATTGTATGCTACTACATCTATCATGTTTGCATAATACAAAAATAAATTGCGAAAGTTACTGGACGACGTTTCTTACCCCGGGGTCCGTACTGCCGTACTGCAGCCAAGCCGAGTCCTAAGCCTTCAAGCCCGGTCCCCACGGCGTGAGAGTGCTGAAAGAGAGAGAGGCACAGAGAGAGACAGAGAGAGAAAGTAACCAAGCCAAGCCAAGCCCTTCGGGAATAAAACCAGATGTTTCGGTTTCTTGTGGAACGAACGAAGCCTCTTCGTCTCCCTCTCCCCACTTGGCCCTAGCTCTCTCGACAGTCGTCCCTACCTAGTACTCGGACGGATCTCCGCCGCCGCGTTTAGTTCGTCGCTGCTGCCGGGTTTGAAGCAGCTGGAAACCATGCCCGGAAAACGCGCATGGGTGTGTAACACACAACAGAGACGAGAGAGTGTTGCGAGTTAGCATTGTTGTGGTGTGTCGGGTGAAACCATGCCCGGAGAACACGAATGGATTTCGTAACACGTACGCGTAGCAGAGAAGAGCCGAGAGTTCGCGACTTGAAAGCATTTTCGTGCGTGTCGGGTGGAAACCATGTCCGAAAAACACGCATGGATTTTGGTTTTGGAACAGGTGTAGCAGAGACGAGAACAGTTGCGCGAATCGCCGTTTTTGTGCGTGTCGGGTGGAACCCATATCCGGAAACACACGAATGGATTTTGGAGCACACAGCAGAGGGAAGAGATTGTTGCGAGTTAGTGTGTCGGGTGGAAAACCATGTCCGGATTCATGGATATATGGATTTGGAACACACAAAGAACGCGTCACCACTTCAGAACTCAGGAGTCGAGAAACTGAGCCTCAATCAAAATACTAGGAACTTGATCACAATCTGATGTGAGCTCGATTAAGAACCTATATAGCGACCATTCGTAGCATGACCCTAGGAAAACAGAGTAAAAACCCCAGCCTCGGTCAAAACTATATAGAGGTCGATTCTTGTAAAATATACTAGGGGAAACTGAGCGTCGAAAAAACAAAACCTAAGAACTTGACCACGATGTGTGAGGTCGGTCAAGAACCCCTAGTCTAAAAACCTATATAGCGGCCAATTAGTAGCCCACAAGAAGAACCACTGTATTGTACGAACCCCAGCCTCGGCCAGAACCAGAGGATCTTGTAAAAGATACCTGAGGGAACCATTCCGAAGTTACAGAACTTGAGCACCGTTTGTGAGCCCGGTCCAGAACCCCTACACAAAAACGTATATAGCGGTCATTAGTAGCCCACAAGAGGAAGTACAGTACGTAAAAGACCAAGCCTCGGCCGAAACAACACTAGAGGTTCTTACAAAAGTGCGGGCGCATTTTGTAGCAGAGACGATAGAGAGAGAGAGAGTTGCCCTTAGCGTTGGTTGCGTACAGTTGTAGGAGGCCCAAACACTTTGTTGGTTGGTATTGCCAGGAAGAACGCGCGCGTTGACTTCGAATATATCGCCTTCCATCAACCAAACACCGCCCCTTCGAAAAAAACAACAAAAAAAACAAACAAACATCGTCCCTTCGAGGGCCTTGCGGACACGTTGTAGCGGAGCAGGTGGGGGTGCAACGCGGCCGCCGCATGTTGCCTGAAAGAAAGGTCGCGTGCCGTGGCTTGTGCTAGACTGCTGCTCTCCTCGTGAAAAAAAACAAACGTTTCAAGATGATCGTGGTTGTTGAGGGGGGGGGGCGGCCGATACACGAACGGCAAAACCATCAACCTTTTGAACCTTTTGCACAACCGTAAGCGGCAGAGCACCAACACAAAAGAGAAAGGCCGCACAAACACAACTGGTCGGTGGGAGGTCTCACAAGTGCCTACTGCTGTTAAGGAGGGGACCCGATTCGCAGGGTAATGCCCCATGGATAATACATGATTTAGGTCGGCGTGTCACGCGCTTACCATCGTCCTATTTTTAGTGAAGATAGTCCCTCCATGTTTCGTGGTGTGAGACGTGCACTACACTTTGCCATGTATGTATGTTGAGTACTACCCTCATGCTCTGTATATTAGGGTTCGCTCTTCCGCCACCAGCCTACCAATCAATCCACACCATCATGCGGCAGCGTACCCCCCCAACGAGGAAGTCCACATCAAGCATTGCCGCTGGTTGATGGAAGGTCTCAGGAATGCATGCAGGCACCACGGAAATAGACCATTTAGGTTGGCGTGGCGCTCCCGTGATCAGGCTGTTTGGGGTCGGGTGCCATGGGCCATGGGTGTCGACAAACAAACCCGTTTTCAACAAGTTCAAGACGATGATGATGATCGTTGAGTGGGCGGGGGGGGGGCGGGGGAGATGGCACGAACGGCAAATCATCGTCAACATTTTCCACCACCATAAAAAAGCGGCAGAGTTCCGACACACAGAGTCCAATGATGGGAGAGAAAAAAAAAAAAAAACAGCGGAAGGCTACACTGCTTTTTTTTTTTTTTTTTGGTTGATAGGAGGTCTCAGAATTTTCTTCGCGGAGTGCCGTAAGGTTGCGAGTCAGCGCACAGGGGTGCGAGCGATTTTGAAAGCGTCATTTCTCCACAACCAGGAGGTTGGTTTCCACTGTCGAAAAGGGCGGTTTTGGAAATATCTCATCGAGAGCTTTCCTGAGAAGTATCAGTTGGCGTTCGCACCCTCCAGGTTGTGGAGAAATTACGCTTTGAGAATCGATCGCACCCCTTTGCGCTGACTAGCAACCCTACGGTATATATTAGTCTACATTCTTTCCCAAGAACCTGAGCCTTTGCACATAATAAAATGTACTAGTACTAGTACTACGGTAGAATTCATGTGAAGATTTTTCTTGTCAAGTGCTGCTGTTTACTGTATGTAGTATACGGCAGACACAAGATAACACACCCCCTGGACCGAATTTCAGAGCTCGATCTCTCAACAGCAAAGAGGGTCGCAGCGCCGAAAGCGGCAGCGTTGAAGAAGTCGTCTCGTCGAGAGCTTTCCGAAAACTATATCATTTCATTTATGCATCCTCTTCGTCGTGGCGCCATGGAGCTTTGAAAATCGGTCCCAGGGAGTGAGTCATCTTTTGTGTCGTATACGATGAGGGGGCCGTGAGGAGACCCCAGTGGACATTATCTCAGGCAGGAACCGCAGGAGGGGGTCCAACCCCCCCCTCCTATGTGATCCCGGTTGGGTCGTCTAGCTAGTAGAAGTGGAGGATGGGGGCGAGAGGGGCATACGACAGAGTCCAATGATGGGAGAGAAAACAATAAATATATATATATATATTATATATATACACGCCGAAATCAAACCATTAGATAGACTAGTCTGACTAGTCTATGATTTGATTTCAGCTTCTGTAACATCCTGAATGCCAAAAGAGGCCTTGCTTGTGACGGGCTATGCCTCTTATTTTTCCCCGATACATGCATGTATGTATCGAGAAAACACTTGCCCGAAATATTGCACTTGTAGAAGACACGAGGAGGTTAAATAGAAACACGGCTCCGCCGAGGACACTAAATTCTACTTGTTGTATACAATAACTGCACTCGACCGTACGTACGTAGTCGTGTGGCCAAAACACGAATCAAGCCCTGACTTGCCCTGACCCGAACAAAAATTGGTGCTTGTTATTATAATTGTCTTATGCCGCCTATTGTACGGATGCTCCGAGGGTGGTGTACGGGGCTCTATTATAGTACAGTATAGTAGTGGGGGCTCTGTTTAGTGCCAGTTGAATAGTGCCAATGCCCGGTATTATAGCAGTGCCGATGTTTTCGGCGGGCACAAAATGAAATTTCCAAGTACTGTAATAATGTCAGTCTGCTGTGAATAGTGCCAGTCCGGTGTCGTGCCGGCGAATTTTGTGGGCCAACCGGCACTACCGACCAACTAGGTTACGATCACTACAGATGGCAGACACAACGGAGGGATTCTCCCCGATATTTTGATATTTTGTCGTTGACCCAGTAGAGAACTACAGGGGATGGATGTATTGTAAAATGTAAGTTACCTATACAGACAGAGGTTTTTGTACTTGGCACCAGGTGGCATCACTGGTATAAATCGTCCGTGTATAGACTTTAAAAATACCCGAAATAAGTCCAGTACCCAGCCGGTTTTCCTCCACTCACTGAAAAGACTCCACCACATCCCGTTCGACTGTGGGTATAATA